AGCAGAAGAGTAACTTTCAGAACTGTATGAGGAGTGGTTACAACGAAGGACAATGACCAGTGAGCTGCTGATTCACACACAGACATAAACACACTTGAATTTACACTGATCCTCCAGTCCTGACCAAATCTGCTCAAGTCATATTGATATGCAGAGACAATCGTGATTTGAGTTCTACATGAATTTGGGATGACTTGTTCATACATCTTAACATTTTTTTGCTTTAGTCAAGATAATATGGGCTCTGTAAATAATGTCCTCTATTGTTGAGTGAAGCATGTAATACCACTGATGCTGACAACTTACAGCATACATTCATGTGACTGTACCACCGTGAAAATGTCTGCTTGATTTCAAAGTGTATCTGTCAACCCTGAATGATGCTGAAACATCAAAAATACAAACAGTATAGGCATAATGTAAAGTGGAGGGTTATCCATGCATGTTCTCCAGTTGGTTGGACTCCTCTCAGTGTCAGACAGCTGCAGCACATCCACCACGACACTGCTCTGGTCCTGACTAGAACCAGGAAGTACGAGCCCTCTGCTCTGGCTCCTATGGCTCACAAAATAGACTTTAAAGCAGCTCTGCTTGTGCTCTGTCTCCATGGCCTAACACCAAACACATCTTTGATCAAAATGATTATAAACATTACACAGTGTACTACTGATATTGTTTTTCTTTTTTTTTAACTTATTGAATTATTTAATGAATGAATATTTGTATTTAAGTGTCATGCACTCAGGTGCCCTGGGCTTATATGACATTTCCTCCAATATAAATGTCCAGTCCATCATCAGAACATAAAAATCCAACGACACTAAGAAGTCCCACCCTCTCACCCTCTCAGGACAGCTTTGTGTTGATTCTTCACAGAAAATGTTTGAAGCCTGAAATGTAGAAAAAGGTCAAAGTTCAAGAGGGGCTAATACTTTCACAATGTATTTAAAAATCATCTTACTAAAAACAGTAACAATATTTCATTCTCTCTTTAGGCTTATACTAACACTGCTCTATCATCAGCGTCTGTCTGTACGTAAAACAATCAAGCAACATTTTATGACTGGTTTGGTGAAAATGACTCTATCATCATGCACTAGAGTGTATGATTCTTTCACAACCTGTCTATGTTCCTTACATAAAAAGCAGTCATGTTTCCAGGCTGCTCATTGTTCAAATGAACCATATGGGACCTCCCAAGGGACTGGCACCTGCTTGAGTCCTTCTGTAGTCCTGGTTTAATCCTGATCGGAGCACTCGGGGCTGTAACCCCCAAACTGGAAGAGTGGCTATAGCAGATGGACATCTCAGTCCAGAAAAGTGCAGTACTGGGAACAGCAAAGATACTGCGCAGAACTCTCAAGCTTCTGGTAGAGGAGCCGAGCTGGATGAGAGGGAAAGAGACCAACCACCATGGAAGGTGAGGAGCACATTTTGATATTGTTGATATTGAATTAATTTTTGTACAACTAAAATATTTTTTCAATATTGTTTTTATTCAGTGAGTAATAAACACTACACTACCCATATGGGAAAAAAATGGGAAAAAAATTTGAGAATTTACCATTGTCTTTGTAATAAATCTTTATATAAGGTTAATATGTGTCATGTGTGGTTTACTCCTGAAAGTGTCCCCCTTTTGCATTTTTCTCATACAACTATATTATGAAAAACTAGTAAAGATAAAGTGAACATTTTGCATGACATTTGCAGGTAATGTGCATGATCAACTACATTTTTGTTGTATGCTCCATATAATGTTTGTATTCTTTAATTATATGCAGAAACACACACACCCACACGCACCCCCACACACAAACACACACACACATGCACACACACACACCCACACGCACCCCACACACAAAACACACACACACATGCACACACACACACACACAAACACACACACACACACAGACACACACACGCACACCCCACACACAAATACACCCCCACAAACACACACACACACATGCACCCCCACACACAAACACACACACACATGCACACACACACACACGCACCCACACGCACCCCCACACACAAACACACACACACGCACACCCCCACACACAAACACACACACAGACACACGCACACACACACAACACACAAACACACACAAACACACACTGTGATAATTTTCTTTCTCACTCTCATACACACACACACAGCAATCAAGTTTAAGGAAACAATCATCATTTCACTTGTTTTTCTATGAAATAAATGACCTTTGTCCAACACTTGTGAGGACATTGTTTGTGGGATTAGTGTCATATACAGGCCTTGCAGGTTACAAAGTTTTATATGTTTCATGCTGCACATATTTACCAAAGATCTTGTAAGTGTTTTCACTGTCATATACAAATCTTTTAGGATCCATATGAAACATGTTAAAATAGTGTATGATTTGTCCATACCTTTTCCATATGGGCTAGT